ACGTTATTATTATTTTATTTTTACGTTACTTACCAGTCTACCGACATTATTATTATTTTTACGTTACTTAGCAGTCTACCGACATTATTATTTTTTACGTTACTTACCAGTCTACCGACGTTATTATTATTATTATTATTTTTACGTTACTTACCAGTCTACCGACATTGTTATTATGCAAGTTCATCATTGATTGAACTCGCTGCCTTCGCTTTCTTCGGGCTTCTTTCTTACTTTCCGAATCCGATTTGTCTCCTGACGCCGACTTTCGGAAATCTTTTTCGCCTGAATCGACGAAGAGCCGAGCAAAAGAGATGCCGTAACGCACGTTGTCCGAGCAGCCGCCCCATTTCCAACCCTCCGCGGTGGTAACGTGGCCCTGTCGGGAGCGGTCACAAGCGCAGACGGTGAGGTTTCCCGAGCTGCACGCCTCGGTGAGAGCTTGAACGACACCGGCGCTGAAGATAGCGTGAATGAAAGCGGCTTCTCTGCTTCCTATGGAAAAATGAAAGTAAATTTCCTGGTTATAAAAAATGTAGACATCAGGTTTTCCTTACCAATCACTTCTCAAGTTTTAAATTAGAAGTTAAACCTTCCACGATAATTCGGTTCAACAGATAATATACCATCCTCAACTATTCTTACCAGCACTTGAGCAATCGGCTAGGTTGAAAAACGTTCCATGAGCAATCTCTCTCAACCGCAACATCAGATCTTCACTTCTTATTTCCAGCAGAAACAGTCCAAGTTAAGCTGTATGTTAAGGATAAAGAATAAAACTATTCTCTGTAAATCCTTAGAAGATGTGCTTCAGATTTCAATAAATGGTAAGTATCAATAAATGACTCCATCTATCTCTCTCTCAATTATACTAAAGACGGAGTCATTTGTTGACATATTCCACTCTCTCCCACATTTCGCTTATAGATGGAGTTATTTTTTGACATATTTCATTCTCTCCTTTATTTAAACTATAGACGGAGTCATCTGTTGACATATTTCACTCCCTCCTCCATTTAACCTTGTGGAATATGGCAAAAATGACTCCATCTATAGGTTAAATGAGGGAGAGAGTGGGATATATCAATAAATGACTCCAACTATAGGTAAAAATTGGGAGAGGAGGAACAAGTCAGGAAATTACTCCAACTATGGGTTAAAATGGAGAGGAGTGAGACATGTTAACAAACGACTCCGTCTATGAGTTGAAATGGGGAGGGAATGAGACGTGTAAACGAATGACTCCAACTAGGGTGAAAATGGGGAGGTAGTGGGGCTTGGTGAGAAATGACTCCAACTAATGGATATAATGTGTAGAGAATGAGAAATGTCAACAAATGACTCCAACTGTGGGTTGAAATGGGGAGGAAGTGAGACATGTCAACAAATGACTCCAACTATGGGTTAAAATGGGGAGGAAGTGAAACATGTCAGAAATTACTCTTTAAGATAACAACAATATTATGAGGAGGATTTTATTGAGCAATAAATTTTCATATGGTGATTTGGTTATGATCTACGAGTTGTGTCTATTTTAAATGAGACCATTATAAGGCCATGGTCATATAATGGACACTTTTTGTAAAACTAGCGCTTGAACTTGAAATGCGGATTCTTAAAATATAGCCCACAAAACAGGTCAATATTATTGTTTAAGGTTTTACATTTTGTAGAATCGTCCAGAATATCATGTATTTTATTAAGGTAGTCATTTTTGTTCAGAATAACAATGGCGTTGCCTTTATCAGGGCGTGTAACATGGATCTTGCTCTGTCTACATTTTATAATTTTAATAGCAAGAGAGAACCTAACCCTCTAACCCCTGACGAAATCTTAGCCTTAAAATAATTGCCACTAAATAAAAACATCCATGTTACACGCCCTGATAATTGCCACTAAATAATAACATCCATGTTACACGCCTTGATAATTGCCACTAAATAAAAACATCCATGTTACACGCCCTGATAAAGGCAACGCCATTGTTATTCTGAACAAAAATGACGACCTTAATAAAATACACAATATTCTGGACGATTGTACAAAATTTGAAACCTTAAACAATGACCCATTACCTCTTAGCAACGTGAGGTCAATATTATGTTTAAGTTGGCATTCACAGAAGAGGGCGCTAAGTTAGCAGTACGTGCTGTCCAAAGTGGCCTCCTAAAGAAACAACGTAATTAACAACATAAAAGTTTTTACTGTGGATCTATGTTTACTTTCAACACTAAGACATAACCTGATCAACACATCTTTTCGTTTATTGCATTCATTACATATTGACAAATTGTTATTCACGAGTTTTAAATATATATTTTAATTATATTTATATTTCATAAGTCTGTATAATGGTATGGTTGCTCACTGGTGAAAAAATGTATACTTTTTATGGTGATTTTTTACTTTTAACCTTATAAAATTAACCGCTAATGGGGATTATTACCATTATAAAAATACAAAAACTATACCACTACTATCTTTTCATATTCAGTTAATATTCAACAGATATCAAGTTTTTGTAAGAATTTATTTTGGTGATGATACTGAGTAATAAGTTTGCTTAGTTTTGTTTTTGAGTTTTGTACAAAGCTACACGAGGGCACTAGCCGTCCCTAATTTAGCAGAGGGAAAACAGCTAGTCAAAACCACCTACCGTCAACTCTTGGGCTATTCTTTTACCAATGAATAGTGGGATTGACCGAACATTATAACGCCTCCACGGCTGGAAGGGCGAGAATGTTTGATGTGAGAGTAATAAGCATCCTAAATATAAAAATATGTGGAAAACGTATGGTAGGAATTTTAATAAATATACAGTTTGGGCCAGAATGTTTGCATATTTTGTAACAAATGAGATCATTATCATTAAGATGGGATACAAAAACACTTAGCACTGTCAAACTGAGAAATGAATATTGTATCAAACACTTACACATGTAATTTGTATAATGAGACAAGTTCTATGGACATCATGAACGATTTATTAGAACAGGAAACGATTTTATCAGACACCTGTAGAAAGATGAGTAATCCAACAATTCACACAAAAAACCATGTTATGACAAAATATAACATTAGATTATTATAACTAGCGTCTGTAACCTTATATCAGTTCATATTAAACATTCAGTACTTGGTTGGTCCTCCTCGAATTCTAATTACCTCCGCAAGATGACGTGGCATGCCGTCGATGAGGTTATTGATGTAACCCATCGTGACTTCATCCCAACTTTTCACTAGAAGGCGCTGCGTCTCAGCTACAGTAGCTGGTTTAGGGTCGTGGTTAGCAATTTTCCGGCTCAGTTCTGCCTAACAGTTCTCAATGGGATTACAATATGGAGACTTTGCTGGATATGGCAATCTTGTAACGTCCTCCTGGTCGAAATAAGCCTGTATAATACGTGCACTGAGCAGTGGCATTGTCATCCTGGAATGCGAACTTATTGCCAAACCCTTCCCTAGCATATGACAGAAATATTGTCTCCATATGATGCCTGTAGGAAGCGCCATTGACGTTTCCCTGGAGGAGTTGAAGAGCAGTTTTTCTACCATGATGAATACCTGCTCAAACATGTACTGCACCACCTCCTGTGGGAAAGACAGTCTTCCTCCATCTGTTCTCCAGTCAAACGACGAACATGATTCATACCATCAGATTTAATAAGCCGGAAACATGACTCATCTGAAAAGATGACATGTCACCAGTGTCCTAACTGTATGTTGGCATGCTGTCTTGCTTAAGTAACACGATGACGGCGGTGAATTCTGGTTAATGTCGGTTTACATATAGTCCTTCTTGAAAAACAACCTTGTTTGGTCAGTCTTCTATTCACCGTTCTTCTGGATACCCTGGAACGAATGTGTTCATGCCATTCCTGTCGTAAGATGTTGCAAGACTTCTTTCAACCTTCATGTGTTAACCTGATCAAAACACGGTCATCTATGGCAGTAGTTTCTCGGCGTCTACCAGTAGACTTTCCTGGAACAACATTTTCTGTAGTTCGATGACGTTTCAGGATTCTGGATACAGTACACTGGGGATACCCTACTCTTCTGGCAATGTCCGTTTGCTTCATACCATTTCTGGACAGTCGAACAATTTGACGCTCTATAACTTCTGGCACGCGACGAGTACAAGTACAGAGAAATTGTCTGAACAAAGCGTTGATCTGTTTCTAAAAAGATTACATCAAAAGTGCACTATTTTATACAAAACAGGTGTGTATGTGTATTTTGACGAACAAATGCTCAGATCAGAATAACAACTCGTACATGTTTGTCCGATCATACGCTACTTACTCTGTTACTACTCGTGCATTTACTCAATAACTACTCCATGCATGTAGACAATAACATCAGTATAAAACAGTATGCAAATATTTTGGACAAGACTGTATGTTAACCGTTTATTAAACCCATTTGAAGAAATGCGCATCTTTAATCAAGAGAAATTTTCGAATCGATATATCTTCATTTTGCTGTATAACCTTTATTACGTATACCTCCCTATATCAATACTATACCACAAAGTACCTCACACAGTTGTCGTCAAGCTAGGGGCTGAAAACTGGTAGGCTGGTTTTCTCGGGAATTTATGAACAAGAAACATTTAATAATTTAATTACTACTTCGACTAGTACTTTTAAAGCAAGTTTCAAATATCTACATGATCTAATCCTACTAGACAAACATCAGAAACAGGAAATATCAGTATTCCTCATGGCATATTAATTGTTCTGTCTAAGAAAAACAACAACTTAAAATACGGTACATGCCACTGTTAATACGCAAGTCATACCAAACAGGGACAAAGCGTAATTTAAATACCTTTTCTGATATTTGTTGTTTAATATAATTTTTTAAGCACATATTTACAACAGTGGGCTATCTGCGCTGTTCCTTCCACAGGGATTCAACCAAAATATTTTATATACACTATATATAAGAACAGGTTTTAGCGTGAAACGCAAATTTAACTGATGAAGAAGGGTATCATAATTTGGTTTTTGTCGATCATGTTTTTTTTAAAAAGAAATTATTGAAGAAAATAAGTGTGATTTAAGAACATTTCTTGTGTAATAGTTAAAATTTTCTAGAAATATACCACAAAACTATTTCTTATAATTGTTATTTTTGTTAATTTATCAGAATGATACGCTTTTCACACTAAGTGGAATTTCTATTGCCACTGTGTCGTTCCTGCAGAGTTGACCACAAGTGGACTTTTTGTGGTTACTGTATCGTTCCTGCAGTGTTGACCACAAGTGGAGTTTCTATGGTAACTGTATCGTTTCTGTAGAGTTGACCACAAGTGGAGTTTCTATGGTTACTGTATTGTTTCTGCAGAGTTGACCACAAGTGAAGTTTCTATGATTACTGTAATGTTTCTGCAGAGTTGACAACAAGTGGAGTTTCTATGGCTACTGCATTGTTCCTGCAGGGTTGACAACAAGTGGAGTTTCTATGGTTACTGTATTGTTTCTGCAGAGTTG